ACTGGTCAAACCCCAACCTCCTGTATCCCCGTATTCCTCCCGAATTCCACCCATGCAATCCTAGTTCCAGTAAGATTCTTTTACAATCTTTTCCCTCCTTCCTCCGTTTCCATCCTTGAAATATGTTAAGCCAACCTAGCCGATTACCCCTCTAACACAATCATACAATGTATAGCCATTATAGTAGAATAAGATAATACTGTAGCCGCTATAGAATAGTAATTGTAACAATGCATAACCTAGATATAATAAGTATTACGATTATCATACAACCGCGTGTTTTCTTTATCTATTAGTTAGCTACAATAAATCATGTTATTAATTATTCCTCTCGTTCTCGTCATTTACTTTTAAAACCCGCCTAATAAAACCTAGTAAACATTAAACCTTGCCCTTTCAAAGCTCGCACGTGGTCCATTCCCGAGTTAAAGGGATTTTCCCTGACTCGAAATTCGGACCGACGATCGCATCGCCCGTAGGAAACAGGTGTCATAGCGTCTTTACGAGACGTTGACCCATATTCCGAAGCGGGCAATAAAAAGGGTGCGTTCGACTCGCAGTGTTTGCTTCCGGGCAAATACCTGCGAGACTAGAGTCTGACCGTCCTTCCACGCTTTATCCTTTCTACTCCTCTCTCTCTCTAAATTCATTTTTTCGGAGTTTGGACGTAACATAACTAATAAAATCTAATTGTCATATCTGTCTGGGCGTAGCTTTGTCTGATCTCTAAAGAAATGCAAATGTTAAAGGTTTATGATCCGTTTTAATTATTAGATCTCTTCCTTCTATCGTGTATCTGAAAAACTTGATACTTTTATATATGGCGAATAGCTCGCGATCGTAAGCACTATATTTTCTTTGCGTCTTATCTAACTTACGTGAGAAGAAACCAAGAAGTTCCCATTTTCCATTAGCAAATTGTTCCAATGCAGCTATGATTGCGAAGTCCGATGCATCAGTCTTTAATGCGAGTGTTGCATAATCTTTGGGATAAACCAATATATTACTCAGTTGCTGCTTGCATTCTTTGAACGCGTGTTCCACTTTGGTCAACCATTTAATTACCCGTTTATCTTTCCTTCTTGCGCCGACAAATAACTTATTCAGTGGCGCCTGTATTCGTGCGGCATTGGGAATGAAAACATCAATAAAAATTGATGATCCCAAGAAATCATCGAAGGTCACTTATAGTTTTTAGTTTTGAATGTTTCCGAATACTTGATTCTCTTTGATGCAGGTGCAATTCCGTCTTGGTTAAGCTGGCAACCCAGATACTGTATCTGATTCTATACAAAAACATATTTAGCTATGTTTATGGTTAGTCCATATTTTCGGCGTTCAAATAGTGTGCGTAGCTGTTTTTCGTGTTTTTCAAAGCTCTCGGACGCAATAACAATGTCGTCGACATAGCAATGGTAAAAATCGAGCCCTCTAAGCAAACTTTGGAATGATTGGATCGCGTTTTTCGTGTAAAGACCGAAAGTCATTACGTTAAATTCGTATAATCCAAATGGATTGATGACCACAGTCTTATAGCGATCTTCTGGTGCTACCGGAATCTGATAAGCACGAGTTAAATTTATTGTAGAGAACACTTTGCAATCTCGAAAACGATGGGCTACATTTTGAATATACGGCAAAGGATAGCGGTCTGGCGGTTACATTGTTCAAACGGCGGTAATCGCCACAAGAGCGCCACTCACCTGATTTCTTGCGCACCATGTGCAATGGGCTGATCCACTGGCTATTCGATGGTTGACGAATACTTTCTTTCAACATGAAGTCAAATTTGGCTTTTGAGGCCTTCAGTTTATCAGGAGGTAACCGCCTAGCCTCTTTCAGCGACCGGAGGTCCTTGAGTTAAAATATGGTGTTCTATCTGATGTGGTATTGAATCTCTGCATGTCGAGTGTGTGATATCTGTAAATTCTTCTAAGAGTACTTGGTAACGGTTGTTTTTATTAGTTGTAGATACAGTTGGCGTTGCTGCATTAGATATGCGGCCTTTCGAGTGTAGCTGGGAAATATTAGGTGTAGTAAAAAGAAATCTATTATTTTTCCAATAGATGGCTTTAGTAATCTGTATCTCGCGTTGTATAAGTGCGATCGGGTTACGCCAAATGGCGTTAGAAAGATAAAATTTCGTACTAAAAAAACTTCTCAGACAGTTTTGTGATTGCTTGAGTCAGTATTGTTTGAGCGCGTGTCAAAGATGGACACTAACAAAGAGAAAATACGCCATATTTTACAGTTTTTCTTCGATAAAGGCGAAAACGCAAGCCAGGCGGCTGAAAATGTGAATAGTGTTTATGGTCCTGATACTGTAACAGTCAATATCGCGCAATTTTGGTTTCGTCGATTCCGTTCCGGTAATTTTGATGTCAAAGATGCACCACGCTCTGGAAGGCCAATTGTCGAAAATGTCGATAAAATAATGGAAATCGTCGAGTCCGACCGTCATGTAAGCACTGTTTCGATTGCCCAGGAGCTAAACATTGCACAAAAAACCGTTTGGAACCATTTAAATAAGGCTGGATACAAAAAGAAGCTCGATGTATGGGTGCCACACGAGTTAACGCAAAAAAACCTCATGGACCGAATTTCCATCTGCGAATCGCTGCTGAATCGCAACAAAATCGACCCATTTCTGAAGCGAATGGTTACTGGTGATGAAAAGTGGGTCACTTACGACAACGTCAAGCGAAAACGGTCGTGGTCGAATCGCGATGAGCCGGCGCAAACGGTGGCCAAGCCAGGATTGACGATCAGGAAGGTTTTGCTGTGTGTTTGGTGGGATTGGCAGGGAATCATCTACTATGAGCTGCTCCCCTACGGCCAAACTCTTAATTCGGACCTGTACTGTCAACAATTGGACCGTCTGAAAGAAGCAATCGCCCAGAAGCGGCCAGCTTTGGCCAATAGGAGAGGAATTGTGTTCCATCAAGACAACGCCAGGCCACACACATCGATAGTGACTCGCCAGAAGCTCCGGGAGCTTGGTTGGGAAGTTCTTATGCATCCACCTTATAGTCCGGACCTGGCACCAAGTGATTACCACCTGTTTATTTCCTGTCTATGGCGAATGATTTTGCTGGTGAAAAATTCGCCTCAAGAGAAGCTTGTGAAAATCGACTGTCCCAGTTTTTTGCCTATAGAGACGAGGGTTCTATGAGAAAGGCATAATGAAATTACCTTCAAAATGGCAACAAGTTATCGAACAAAACGGTGCATATTTGACCTAAATCGGATCACTCTAACTATGCTAAATAAAGCCTTCAATTTAATGCAAAAATAATAGATTTTTTTTTACTACACCTTATATGAAAAAATAATATATTGAATAAAAATTGTAATTAAACGTGAAGTTGTAATTTAATAATATACATATACGCACACGCACGCACGCACGCACGCACACGCCACACACACAAATGCATACTTTATTACGAGAATACTTTATCATATACAAATATAACAGTCTACACAATATAGCATCTCCGAATAAATTTGATTTAATTTTTTAGTAAAATTTAGTTTTATTAACCATTTGCCATACTTTTCTCTTACAAATTAAAAAAAAATTAAGCTTTGTGAACAACCTCTCATCCGTGATACTCATGTTTGGCCCGATTTTCTTACCACGAGTCTCACACGATATTGTAAACGAAAGGGTTAATTATATTTTATGGGAAGGAAATCCAGCTAATCTAACCTAACTTAACCTGCAATTTCAATTTACTGAAGGCAGCCACATTCCTGGTTGAAAATCGATGCATGTGCACTAAAAATTGGATATAAAAAGCTCAGTGTCCATATTGTATGTACTTATATTGTACTGTGATTGTTTATGGCCGTCACGATGGTAACACTAATGAGTGACATCAACAGCGCATCGCGTACGTTTGAGGTTTGTTGTACCTGTGCTGTTTTAGAATTTGAAAGATATTGAAAAGTAAATATTTAGTGTTTTTTTTCTAATTCCATTATTATTACTTTGCATTTACGTAAAATATGAGTTAATTTTCGAGCGTGCTTTTTTAAACTAAAAAACTTAAACGATCATTTATTTAACAATAGTAGTGGTTGGGAGCCTTGGACACTAGTTGATTAGAAAGGTTCGGGCATGTCAAAACCTAATTTGTTAGCGTTGTTTGCACTCAGTATCTTTGCTTTCTTTGCTTCAACGCCTGAATATAGATTTATCTATTTTTAAATGCAAAAGTTTTTGGAGATTTCAAGCAACGCGAATAGATCTCTAGATTTAACGTAGGAAGCTCTCTATGTTTCAATCACCGTAATTTTTTTGTTTTTATTCACAGAATTACCATGCCATTTAAATATAAAAAGAAAACAGATCATCGTATATCTGTAGATATTATACAAAAAATATTTAAACCTCCCGCACGTAGGAAAGGATGGACACTTTTCTTTCTTTTTTTATCATTTTCCATGATGGTCTAGCTTTGGCCTAAATTTTAAATGCGAGTCTATAGCTAAGAACATAAGTTATTTAAAATATAATTTTGGTACTATTTTCTTTACAAACATGCATTTTATTTAAGATTTTGCTAAAAAGTACCTGAGGGTCCTCATTTTCCTTTATCTCTAGATTAAAGAGCCTCACAAGGAGAGAGTAGCAAATTGTTCACGTCCAATCAAGACAGGGATCACATTAGTTTCTTCTAATCTCTTCCACACCTTTGAAGATTTGATGCCCATATCAAAAGAGACGAGTCACGTGATGCAAATTGCCACTCTCTCCCTGTGAAGCTCTCCACTCTAGACCGAGCAATGGAGGAATGCAGGGTATACATACTCTACTATGAAAAGTTAAATCCTATTTTTGCGCCATCTGGCCGAATAGACAGAGTTTTAGGAATTATAAACTTTAGCATTCCTGCTCGATCGTTACTGTCAACACGATTATTATTCTCATTTTAGTTGATATATACATACAATTATTTTTTGCAATTGTAATATTGGGTTGTCCGGAAAGTCCGTGCGGATTTTTAAGCAAAATTCAAACGACAAATTTTTATTGTTAAAAGTAATTTTATTCTGTAACATATGCACCATTATTTTGCACAATACTTTTCCATCTTTTGGGTAATTTCAAAATTCCCCTCTCGTAGAAGTCCTGGGGTTTTTCGGCGAAAAAGCTGTCCAAGTAGTTTTTGAGGAGTTCCAAAGAAGCAAAGTTTAAACCATTAATTGAATTTTGTAGCGACCGAAATAAATGATAATCCGAGGGTGCAATGTCGGGGGAATATGGTGGATGAGGCAAAACATCCCAGCCAAGCGCCAATAATTTTTGTCGAGTCTGTAAACTTGTATGAGGTCTGGCGTTATCATGATGAAAAACGACGCCTTTCCTATTGATCAATTCCGAACACTTTTTGGTGATTTCCACCTTCAATTTATCCAACTGTGAACAATACTTGTCCGAATCGATGGTTTCGTTGTTCGGTAGTAGCTCATAGTACACTATCCCTTTCCAATTCCACCAAATGCAGAGCATTACCTTCTTTGGATGTAAACCTGCCTTCGGAGTGGTCGATGGCGGTTCATCTCGCTTGCTCCATGACCTTTTACGCTCGACATTATTATAAATTATCCACTTTTCGTCGCCTGTTATGATACGCTTCAAAAATGGATCGTATTCGTTGCGTTTGTATAGCAAATCGCTGATGGAAATGCGATCAATACGATTTTTTTCAGTTAAGTCGTGCGGTACCCAAACATCAAGCTTTTTTATAATCTGGAGCTTGTTTAAATGTTCGGAAACAACTGATTTGCCAATGTTTAACCTTGCTGCGATTTCCCGAACTGTGATTTGCCGATCGGAATCGATTAAAGCTGTAATTTGGTCGACATCGGTGGTGACTGGCCGGCCAGAGCGAGGAGCATCTTCAATATTCATTTCTCCTGAACGAAATTTAGCAAACCACTTCTGGCACATGCGATCACTTACGGCATCTTCCCCGTATACGGCACATATTTTTTTTCGAGTTTGTGTCGCGTTCTTGCCTTTGCGGAAATAAAAAAGCATTATGCATCGAAAAAACACGTTATTTCCTTCCATCTTTAAGCTGATTTCAAGTAAACAGTTTTTAATTTATTGGGATAATGAATATCACTAATTATGCTTTGAAATGTCACTAATCAAAACACGAAAGCATCTGACACATCGCATCGACATAAACATATGATATTCGCCTTCAAACGACATCTGTTGAGAAATACGCACGAACTTTCCGGACAACCCAATATTTGTTATAAAAAATTTATTAGAGTAAAAAATATTGGAAATGTGCATTAATTTTAAAGAATTTTTTAGTAAAAAGACGGCTTTATTGTGAAAAAATGATTATAAATTGATCATTCAAAATATTGTCCATTGCTAGCCTTTTTCCCATCTTTCTAATAGGTGGATTCAACTTGTCGCATAATTAATCGACAGTATTTTATTGTGATTAATACATTAGTAATAAAGTTTGTAAATTCCTCATTTTGTCATTCAAATGCTTGTGTAAATCAGTAACTGTATTGATATTGCGATGGAATTTGATTTTATGATTACTGCGTGCAATGTTTCCTTTTTTGTAGTAATTCTGAGTTGTCGAATGATTAATCGACAGTGATTAATAGTGAGCCACTAGATTTGTTTGTAAAAATCAATTAAGTGCGTGAATAAATCCGTTAACGTATTGATACGTGACATAATTTGTAAAAGGACGAATACTTCTGATTATTAATTGCTGTATGCAATTTTTTTCTTGGATTTAATTCTCAGTCACTAAATAATTAATCGGTAGTGATTAATAACGAACTAATAAATTCGTTTGTAAATTGATCAAGTGTATGTGAAACATTATAAATGACATAATTAATGTGAAAGACAAAAATTCGCGTAAACATGATCGTGATACAATTGATGTAATAAATAAAAACTTATTGTTATTTGGTGTGGATTTATAAGGAATTTACAGTCACAAAATTATTCTGCTTTTTTCCAGCTCGGCTGCGTGATGTGAAGCATCTTTAAGATAGGAGAGAGAAGGGGCGGGAAGATGACGTGTACGTGCGCATATCATCGTTTTACGCATAGCAAGCAGCTCGTCGGAACTGGGCACCCATGTCGGATGATGCGTTGCGCCGTCTCTGCCTACCTTCCATACGCGACCCGTAATTCGCTTACTATTTTATAATTTTATAATATATTTTAAATTTTATAATACTATTTTATAAAAACTACGTAAGAATTTTGGCAAAGGAAAAATTGTCTTAGAATTATGTCAGGAGTACATCATTTTAAGGACAAACGTTTGTTCTGGGACACCCTTATATATCATTAAAGCAATTTTACAATATTATTAAAAACAAGTTATTATCATGGATATATTTATTTGTACGTTACAACTATATTTAACATTAATTAGTTTTTCTAAATGTGTTCCGTTTCTTTCACAATATCTTTGACCAGGACCTCTATTGTTGACAAGAAACATATACGAAAAACTAGAGAAATACTATAGTATATTATAAAAACTAACATGACGGAGTCATATTTCATTCGAGCTGCAATTAATATGGTTTTTAATTTGGTACTCTTTAGTGATAATAAAGTTTTAATTGGTTTTGATCTAATATCGAGACGAATTTTTTCTATGTTTTGGGATTACAACATGAAATCTGTTAATCTGATTTTTTCTTGGACATAAAGAGATTAATATTTTGAAATTATATTGCTGAGGATGGTTCCAAAGTGAATTGAAACGTACTATTTTTTGGAAAGATTCTATTTTCTGGAATAAAGATTTAAGATTGCGTATTAACTACCACGCTGACTTTCATTCGCCTTGATTTTTTGGGGATTTTTTGTTGTTAAAACTAAAGAAGAATGACAACAGAGATAAATATAAATAGAATAAAAGTTAAATTTGTATAAGAATAAGTAGTATGAAAATGAATGAGCTTAAAAATAGGATTTTAGGAATATTAATTACCTTTTTAGGAGTATATTTAATTTTTTATTAGGCATTCGACTGTAACAGGGGAATACTCGACTATAGTTGATTGGTTCTTGCATTCTGATCCGAATTAAACCTTCGATCAAAATTAGGCCACTGAGGGCTATCTCCACTTCTCGAATGCTCGATCTAGAAATATTACATTTATGGTGTAAACTAGGCCATACAATCACGTGTATGAAGGCCGCAGCACAGACTTTTACATAACGCATAACGCATAGTGCATAAGCGAATCAACTAATCATAATCTTCCCTTCCCTCCCATTTCATAGAAAAGAAGAATTTCGATTGGTTGATTCCCTTATGCATTATGCGTTATGCAAAATGTGTATTGGCTACGGCCAATAGTCTATATAGACATATTAAGTCAGTCGATAGCAATCGTCGGCAAACATCAAGTGTGATTGATCAATTAAAGCTTAAACACAATAGGCACAGGCATAGGGAATAGGAAATAACAAGCTGTCCAATTAGAGCTCTGAGATATAATAGCGAACTTACATACCAGAGCTCTGATTGGACGGCTCGTTACTGCTGCCTGTGCCTATTGTGGGTTTAAACCTTTAGAATCAGCAGTCAAAATCGGCAGTCGGGTCGGTCTGCAGAGTCAATAGTCTGATACCGCCTTTAGAGAGAGACGCTTGCAAACTGAGTACATCATATTATCCCTTCCACCATATATCCTACTTGCCCAAAGCAGGGAGCACAGGCCTAGTTTCCACCGAGGGTTTAAACCAACTACAGTCGAATATTCCCCTATTACAGTCAAACAACAAGGGAATGTAGTTGATTGGTTCTTACATTCTGATCCGGTTTAAACACTCGGAAAAAATTAGGTCACAGATTCTTGCATAATGTATATCACGTAATACATAAGAAAATAAAATTAAAGTCCTTCGTTTCTGTTCTTTCCATGAAATAAAGAACTCTGATTGATTGAATTATAGACTTACAAGATAGACGGAGCATTTGTGCGAAAGAAGCTGAAGACCTGATAGAAAGAGAAAGAAACAATTACGGAGTAGTTCTCTTCTTTTTTAGTAGTGAATTGATTGATCGCCGCGATAGGCCGGGAAGTGGTCAAGAGCAACGAAGATAAACGTTTGAGAGTTGTGGCTTTACGCTATGTTTGGAGTAGAGCTGTCCTTCAATGTTGTTTTCAGCTTCTCTCGTATGAACGCTCTGTTTATCTTATAAGTTTATATTAAATTTTTTATGCTTTATGTATTATACAAGAAGTAAATATTAAGAAGACTTCTGTCACCTCAAATTTTGATAAAAATATACTCAATCGATGTTTAAAACGGGCACAAACTTTTGCATAACACATAAAACATGAGGCATAAGAAAATCAATCAATCAGAGTCCTTTATTTCACGGAAAGGAAGAAAATAAAGGATTTTGATTGATTTATTTTCTTATGCCTCAGGAGTTATGCATTATGCAAGAGTCTGTGCTCCACGTTTAAAGCATCAATTGAGTATATTTTATCAAAATTTGAGATGACAGAAGTCTTTTTAACATTTACCAAAATTATAATTTAAGTCTAAACAAAAATCATAAATATATTATCATCTATTATTGATATAATAAATATAATTGTAAGAATAAGCATAGAAGACAATGCATTCTGGTGTTACATTATGAAACTAAACTGTGTTTAACAAGTATCTTACATAGTGAAACAGTGTAACATCTCTGTCCTAGATGAAAAATAGCCAGTATCCGCTTGGAATATTTCTAAAGCGCATAGACTCTTGCATAATGCATAACACATGAGGCATAAGAAAATTAATCAATCAGAGTCCTTTACGGAAAGAAAGGAAATAAACTTTGATTGGCTCATTTTCTTATGCCTTATGTGTTATGCATTATACAAGAGTTTGTACTCTCCGCTTTATTTATAAAGACAGTGGCACAGTGTATACAGTAGCGCAACTCTCCAGATTTTATGTTGGCCAAAATGGAGTGCGCATACGCGAAATAAGTACGAGTAAGTTGCTCAGTAACACCATCTAAACTTCTATCTCACTTCTTTCTTTTTCCGTTTTCTCTTTCAGAGCCATTTAAATGTTCGAGTAGCTGAAATACGAATCAGAGAAAGAGATAGAAGAAAAGAATATCATGATTAGTTTAGTTTAATTAGTTTAATTTAGTTTATTAGAAAGTTCTATTTAGAAAGACAATATATTAATAGAATAATAGACATAAAGTTTACGCACACATACACACACACACACACACACACACACACACACACACACACATACCTGCAAACACACCAATTTCATCAGTCTTGCTTAAATACTGAGAGTGATATGTATAATTGTTGGATTGCTTTTGTTTTAGCTAAAAAATCTGCGTTCTGTGTGGTGCAATTCTAATAATTTATTAAAATGCAAGCGATTTAGCAGAAAAACAAGCATCGTGTGCCTCAGTCATTAATTAATTGAAATATTTTTGCAGTATAATATTTATATCATATAACATTTATATAATTTTATATTTTCTTATTTTTGTCTTTTTTTTTGTTTTGCAATGCATTACAATTATGAATCTATTTCTTTTAGTTTTATTACATTTAGATTAAAAATTTAATGTATAATACATACAAACGATTTAGAGAGAAAGAGAGAGAGAGGGAGAGGGAGAGAGAGAGAGGGAGAGGAAGAGGGAGAGAGAGAGAAAGGGAGAGGGAGAAGAGGGAAAGGAAGAGAGGGGGGAGAGAGGGGGAGAAAGGAAGATAGAGGGGGAAGAGGGGGAGATAGGGAGGGAAAGGGG